TAGGACTGCTTTTGCCAAAGACTGGACAAGAAAAGAGTGTATTTGCTGGCAGACACTTTTTCAGAAAACTTGCACATTGTTACGTGCTGTTTAGTGAAAGGGAGTGCTGGTGTTCAGGGAATATCAAGCAGCTACAGGAGAGATGCTGTGAATCTTATGAGCTGAAGATTATCATACACTTTTAGAGTTGCATTGTTCTGTAACAGCATTCATGCTACTTCAGAGCTCAGGGAATCGCATATTGTTGGAAAGAGCAGCAAAGCTGTTCCTCTGAGTTCTTACACAGCTGGGTCAGAAGTGTCTATCTATTTTGGAGACATATAGCCTTTTGTTTGACTTTGTCCTAGATATGTATACCTTTTCAACAATTAGCAGTTCGTGTTTCTGGCAACTTTCAAGCAGGTACTTGTTCAAGCAAGTGGTCATGATAAGTTTTTTATGAATATTCTGCCTATGAAAAAGAGCGATTCCTTAGAATTCATAGGATTGGAATAATTGAGATTAGTAAATGTGTTCTCAAGGATTTGGGAGCCCATCTACACTAGTGCCCATCCAGATAAAAGGCTGTATCATTACAATTTTCTTTTTTGAGTTAGGGTCATTTTCAGTACGTTGTTAGTCATGATACTAACAATGCCAGGTTGACCAAAACAAGACATAGGAAATTGCAAAGTGTGCAAGGCGACTGGAGCTTATCAAAGGAAATCATATTTTTTGTAGAACATGGAAATACTGTAAAAAAGACTGTCCAACTTGAAGATATTAGTTAAGAGAATCTGTCCATAATTTCAAGCTCTTCCACCCAAAATGCCAGGAAACAAAACACAAACAAACAAACAAACAAAGCTTTCCCTGTGGGCAGGGATTTTGATGGCATTTAAAAATGTCCTACCCGGTTTAATGCAAATTTATAATTAATCCCCAAGTGAGGACAGTGGTTGAAACCCATTTGTGCCCTTCAGTGTAAACTTCTGCATTCTTAATAAGAGATTTAAAAACTAGCTTTGAGGGTTTGAAGAGTATAAATGCCATTATACTCAAGTTATCAGATATAAAAAAAGGAAGCTTGCAGCTATCACTAAGTCAGTAGCAGAGGCAGGAATAGAATTGAGAACTTTGACTCCCAATCCTGTGCTCCTGCTACTAGGTGTGATGTCTTTTTTTTCATATGATCGTAGAGTCATGGGGTTGGCAGGGATTTCAGGAGTCACCTGGTCCAACCCCCTGAATGAGTGCAAAGATTCCACAACTTTCCTGGGCAGATTATTCTACTGCCTTGCTGTTCTAACAGTAAGGAAGCTTTTCCTGCTAAATCTGTTTTACTGCAACATAAAGCCATTGTTTTGTGTCCAGCTGTCTGTCCCAGGGGGACACAAGCGGAGGCCCTGGAGCACCCTCCCACGGTGGGACCTGAGGCAGGGCTGACCTGCCCAAAGAAAGAAATGAAGAGGGCACACTTACCGTTTACAGGAGAAACAGTGTCACGCTGAGAAGGGCTGCTGACGCGGTTCATCAGCCACTTTTATTGCTGGCTGGGAACGACGCCGGCAGATGATATCATCAAAAACCACCGCCCAGCTAATTTAAAAGCTGGTGGTGGGGAAGTGGAAGCGGGGGCAGCAGCGCTGGAGCCAGAAGGCGAAGCTGCTCCCCGGGCTGCACCTTGGCAGTGTCGGCAGCTCGGCAGGGGCCAGACGGGGGCATACCCCAGGAGGGGTCCCGGCTCCATTAAAAGAATTACCTGCCCGACTCAGCAGGGCACCCAGGCCAGGGAGGACGGCATTGAGGGATCCCAAGGACTACAGATGCCACATCCATGAGTGGGGTGGGCTGAGGCCCGTACCCTGACTGTTCTTTTTTTCTCCTTTTTTTATTTGTTATTTTCGGAGGGCACACAGAGCCCAGACCAGGGAAAGATCCTCCAGGTGACCCTGGGTTAAGAGGAAGAGCTGAGGCAGCTGAGGGAGTGCAGACACAGAGACGAGGATGGTGCCACACCCCACAGTCATCCAGGGTAAAGGGGCATCGAGGGATGGGCAAGGAGAGAAGAGAGCAGGCAAGAACATCAAAGGGACAGGCCAACGACCCATCATCCGGCTGTCCTGAGGGCTGGCGTATGGCTGGGGTGTAGGGGAGGTGGAGCCCCAAGAACACCCACATAGGGCAGCACCTGGTCTGCGAGGATCTGTCAGGGGGAGCCCCACCACTGAAGAAGATCAAGTCATGGCAGGCAATGGTTGGGGCCTCCCTCGGGGGTGTACATGACCCAACACACAGGCCCCGGGGACAAACCCCATGGCCAGAACTGGGTTTGTGCTCTAAAGTCACTAGAGAGCGCCTATATGAGACCAGGCAGATGCAGTCTGTGGCAGGAGAGAATATTTGTTCTCCCTCTTCTTTATGGCAACTTTTCACATATTTGGAGACTGCTATCATGCCCCCCTTATACTTGCCTGTTCTCCAAACTAAATATGTTAAGTTCTCACCACCTTTTCTCATATGGTGTGCCTTCTGACTCCTTTATCATTGTCCACCCCCCTCCCAACCCTCTCCAACTTCTCTATATCCTGCTTAAAATATGTAATCCAGAACTACACATAATGCTCTAGAGTAGGCTTAGTTAGCACCAAACAGACTGGTATTGTCACCTTTTGTGTCTTATACCTAATACCCCTATTGAGGTAGCCCAAAATTGCATTTTTTTTTTTTTTTCAGATTGTCACATTGCCTTGGTGGTAGCACTGCTGGGAAGGATCTAAGGGTTTGGTGGATTACAGTCTCAGTATAAATCAGCAGTCATATTCCCTCTTCTGTTTGTCCTTTTGATTATTTTTCCCTAGGTGCAGCATGCTAGGTTTGTCTGCATTGAACTTGATCCTGTTGATCTTTCCAGTTTATCAAGGCCCTTATGAATTCTACTCCTGTCCTTTAAACTAGTTTTGTAATGCTTTCCAGTTTTGTGTAATCTGCGAGCTTGATCTCTGTTCCAGCAACTAAATAATTAATAACTATGTTAAATAGCACTGGACCTTAGAGACCCCTGTGGAACCCCAGTTGAAGACCCTTGCCATTCCAACATTGATCCTTTTTTAATTGCTCTTTATGTGTACCTATTGAGCTAGTTATCAGTTCACCCTGTAGTAATTTTATCAGCCCACACATGTCCAGTTTGTTTATGAGAATGTCATTTGGGACTTTATCAAAAGCCTTACTACAGTTCAAGTATCCTGTGTCCACTGCATTCCCCTTATCCACCTCACCAGTTACTTCATCAGAGAATGAGATCAAGTTGGTTTAGAATGATTTATTCTCAACAAATCCAAGCAGGCTGCAAGCGATCAACGTTTCTTCCTCTCAGGGTTTACAAAATGTCTTTGTTTTAATTTGCTCCAGTAGCTTCCTGGATACTGAAGTCAGGCTGAGCAGTCTATAATTCCCCTCCTTTTTGCCTTTTTTCAAAGGTAAGCACTATGTTGGTCCTTTTCCCATCACCTGGAATCTTGCCTGTCTCCCACAACTTTATAAATTTTTATTGTTAAGGGCTCCAAGATCTCTTCTGCCAATTCCTTCAGCACCTTGGATGAAATTCATCAGGCCCTGCTGATTTTAAATTCATTCACACTAATCAAAAACTCTCTGACACTCTTCTTAGTCTTTCCCTTCTGTGTCTATATAATTTTATTAGCACCTTATTAGCAATATTTTACTGAAATAAAAGTTATATGGGAGGAAGGGTGCTAGGACCTGGTGGGCCCATTGGTTCTGTAACTTATTACTAGTTGGAGTGTCCATACCAATTTGTTTCAGCCAGACTTTCGGTTATATTTTGTGTTATTTCTCTTAGTATAAAAACAAATGCACCACTCATCTTTATTGTTGGGAAAAGTCATTTTGTCATCCTTCATGGTTCTTAAACACATGACATGATTTTACAACTTTATCAAAAATTAGTTACTTTTAAGACCTGATGCAGAATGTCTTGCATTAAAAAGCTCATCCACCCTTATCCCAACCATGCAGGCTGTCCAATAAATGATATCACACACAAAAATCCTACTTTCTTTAAGGTGATTTTGAATCCTTAAAATGAATGTGTCTGATTTTAAGAAGTCCCCTCTTTATGAACACATCTTTAGGAAATGTTTAGACCAGTGAGGCTCAACTGGGATGCCATGGCAACCTGGGGTGCCTTGAGATTTTTATCAAGGATGCCATGAGATGCCACACAATGTTAGCACTGTTAGGTGTGCAAACATGATTCACAAGAAAGCCCAGAGTTTTCAAATAGGAATTGATAGTGGTAAAAACAATCTGATACTATGTGGTCTTTCTGAGTTCTTTCAAGCACTCTCTTAATTTCCTGTATTTAAAAATTGAGTGAAAACTAAGAGCTGGCATTTTCCAGTGGGTGCCTTGAGTCCAAAAATGTTGAGAACCACTGGTTTAGACTGCAGTATTTTTCAGACTGAACACGTAACCTTTCAAACCTTGGAATATGCTTTCTAGAATTCTTTCTTTATGAATCCAAAAAGATTATTTTGATTTGTGTTTCTTCTGAAGTCACATCAGCTAAAACATCTTCATTTAATTTTACTTTTAGGAAGAATACGTTCCCTATACCTCATGCATAGAAATTATGTTTGTGTTCTGAAACCAATGTTAAATGTTTAAGTGAATGGCTTAGATAGGGTTTGTACTTCAAAGAGATTTGTAGAAGGAAAAATAATACATCATGTTGTGTTTTGCTTTCAGCGTGCATAGAAGCCTAGAATCTTAGCAGAGTGCACAGAGGCCTAGAATCTTACAACGTTCCTGGAGAAGGTTTCATGCTTTACACAATGAATTCTAGTGCCATTGAAAAACACTGAGTTGGTGATTCATTCTTTCCCAGGGCATTAGTACTGCATTTTGTTGGCAGTTGATTTCTCTGTACAGTGGAGGGTAAACTGATCATACTCGCATGCTGTTTACATCCTTGTTTTCCCCCTTTTTATTTTCAGGATCTTGGCCTGGCACAGATTTCTGCTACCAACACTAAGACGCCAGTTCCCCTGGGATCTCTAGCACATCAGATCTACAGGATGATGTGTGCAAAGGGCTATGCCCTGAAAGACTTCTCAGCCGTGTTCCAGTTTTTACGTGAGGAGGAGAACTTGTGAGCTATTTTTCAGCAACGGACACTATTGCAAACCAAACGCTTTTTTTTTTTTTTTGGAACCTTCTTTTTGGTCATTTGCGAAATAGTT